ACCAACGACGACTGATTGATATCAGTTGATAAAGTTAGCGGTGGATCAAAAGCTGTTGTTGTTCGGTTCTCAGAGAATTGTCCAACTGCAAGACTACCACCAATGCTGTCTTTTACTATCAGCTCAGGTTTAGCACTAGCATCTGATGATAGGTGGGCTACATGCTGATCAATCACACTGACGGTCTCACAAGTATGTTTGCCTTCTGCAAATGCATCGGCATTTATTTCTACTTCACGCTGTAGTTGTACAGAACCTTTGTTCAACTAAGCAGTAGTAGGCGTTCCCCACATCTCATCATGATCAACCAGAGACAAATGTGCGCTATCATGATCGTTACCACGATTATTCACTTTACCGTCAACTTCATCATTTTCAAACTCTTTAATAACGGAAGTAGACAATTTTGGTTCCTCCTTGCAAATCCTAAAAGGTTTTATAACTTCACTGTGACTAGTAATACCTTGTAAACTTGTGGAGTCAAAATTGCACGCTGAAACTGTAACTTTCTTCTCTGCCATTCTATTCAACAATGGCTTACCAGTTGCAACTACAGACTTCTTCACCGCACCGTTGTCGTCACACAATTCGGAGTCAGGCCTGGAGTTTACATTTAGCTTATCACTGAACTTGCTTACTGGTTCACAATTCAGCTCTGTATGCACCTCTTGCAAACGTGTAAAACACAACCGTGCTTGTCTTGCATCTTGTAACTTATCTGTTGAGGATGTACTACGAAACCTGTTACACTCACTAGGTCTATATGCATTACTAGACATCATGGAGCCTTCTCGATATCCACCTCTCTGAGGCCTACTCGTCATCAATGATTGCGTTTTACCCTTAGGCTGCTCTGTCCTAGGGGTGAGATTCGATATACTGGCAAACTTGCTCATAGATTGATTGACACTATCTTTCACTATTTTCAGGCTCGATACCTTCATCCTCTATACGGTGGCTTATCTTCACCCACTTCCTTTGCAGTCGAGTAGGTAGGCGTCTTGCTATTACTTCTAGTATAAAACTCGAGTTGAGGTCACTCATACAATTCATCGAAATCAGTGCATTCTTGTAATTCAGCAAATTATCCAGAAACTCAGTAAGTGCCTGGGAGTCATCCTGTAGTTGATCACCATTACCCTTAACAGCCTCGAATAATTTCCCTGCAATCATCGAAGGTCTTCCAAAACTTTGACGTAATATGCTCATAGCCTCAGCGTATGCCTCAGTAGGGGGCATGAGCTTACTGCACTGTATAGCTCTTGAAGCATCTCCAGTGCAATACCTCATCAAATACATTAACTTCATTTCATCACTTAGTAGAAAACTACTCAGCATGATCTCAAACTCCCTTACAAATTGTAAATAATCAGCCGGGTTTCCATCGAAACATCGTGGTTCAAATTTAGGGAGTTTGATATTCTTATTATCCCTGAACGGCTAAACAGTAACATCAACCATGTCATGCTTAACATCAGACACATCGTTGCATTCAACAGACAAGTCACCATGAGTTACTTTCCTGTTTGCATCCAAGACACTGTCCCTTCTTTGACCCAGGCATTGTTGAACTTGACCCAATTCCAAAAACGTTCCGGATATTGCTTGTTCAACGAGGACTTGACCGGCACCAGGAAAGATGAACGGTGACTATCCAAACTTTCACCAACTGTCTGGATCCGCCAGAATCTTTTTCTACCGTCTGAAACTGTCAGCCACGTCTCGTAAACCGTTAATGCCCAGCTCTTGCTGCACTCGAGCTCGTGCCGTTCCTTGAAGTTTCTCAGAAACGCTTAGTAATAACGGACGCAAAAACCAAAACACCGATTGGCCACTCGAGAATTCTTTATTGTAACATCAACATATAAAAATGTTTCCACTAAGGTTTGTGAACAAATATTACAATAATAAATCACAATGTTACTTCTGACGGTTTACTGCTGACTTCTTCCTGAACAGCGACCAATGAGACGATGACTGGTGTATTGATTCCTCCGCGAAAATGTAGGGAAGTTGGTTTTGAGCAAACAACCAAGAATTGATCGTTCAATCTTCAACCGCATTGACAATTGGATTCCCTATAGAATAGGGTATTTCTATTCTTATATAGTTTTAAGACATGGGTGGCAGTTTTTATATGGCCCATCCTTATGCGAACATAGTGTGTGCATTATATTGTGCCTGCTTTTCCCTAAAAGGGGGTCACCGCCAATGGTTTGGGTTGGGAAGAATTAGCACGCCTATCAGTTGCTTGTTTAACGCTGGCAAGTTTGTGACGGATAGAAAATTACTGGTACGTGGTGCCCATAACTTACTATTATTCTACTTAGTGCTTGAAGACAACCATGTCCCTGCATGGGTATCATCGTGTGTTGCTGGATTGTGGACTATTTCTAAACACACTTGTGATATATATTCTATCAGCGTTTGTTCGTATTCCATACTTTGAGGATCCAGATTAGTGGTAGCTGAGCTCTGAGTATAGTCCTTTGTAGCATTTAGAGTGATGTTGCTACCCCAGTTATTGGGCGATTGTATGGCACATCCCCTATTTGAAGTGGCGCCATCTGCCTTGTCGGCACTTGCCCAGTTTTGTTGATTCAAGTTGAGGCTAGTTGTTCAGAAAAATGCAGTCTATGTGATTTTGGTGCTTATTTGGTTCTTGTTGGATAAATTTATATGAAAATTGTTGTTCAGTGTTGTTCTTGAGCGTTTACGTTTTGTTTGTGTTGCGGGACGCTTAAACATATCCTTCACACAATGATTATTTTGTATGCCGACTATGCTTAGCATGCATTTCGACGACTGTCTTTTGAAAAATTTCTTTGCTGATTGCTGGCAACTTGAACTCGGTCGTGAGTTCCCTGATCAGCTGTTGTACACTGCCCATTTCTGTTACAAGAACCGGAGAATATGGCTGATACCGAATTCGTGCATGCTTCTGCACCTTTATGTGGTGTTTTGATTGCAAAAAGTCAATGGAATCCACTGATCCAAGCGAAAATTAGGTCTCTGAAATAGACAGAAACTGTAATATGGTTTACGACCATTTGCAACCAACGCTGTCTTCTGCAAAAATTGCTAACTGAGATGAATACACACTACAGCATATTCTAGTACTTTGCTGGATTTAAATAACTTAAACATCATCGTGATCAGGTATGTGAGGATATCCGAGATGTGTGTCATTTCGTCCTTTATTGAGTTTGATACCATAAACTTCCTGCATTTTGCTATTATCCTGAACCAACATTATACGCGTTTGTACAACGTTAATTCGCAGGATTATTTTGAAACCATGTAGACGCAGTGTCGGACATCTATTAAAGCTATGGACGTAAGGTCTAGAAGCAGTTGCTATATCCACTTAGGGGGGACTCATCGTGGTCTTCAATCAAAGGTTTCAGAGCATATTCCTAAATGCCTCCAGAAACAAATTGAATCACAAGAACATAATAATGGTGAGAACAGGAGACCTAGCTCCTCTATTCCGAAACATATTATAGAGACAGGACATAAAATTGACATTTACACACCTTTTAAGCCTATCTATAAAACGTGTTTAAGAGCATTCTAAAGTTGGTGTGGGCATTTGTGCGACCTGGCGTGTCACGTGAGTGTGTGCTGACGTCATTGTTCATGAAGAGTCTGGTCTTATTTCTGCTGTTAATGTGGTTTTAAGCACAAATTTTTCTTATTTCCCCTCTAGTGCAGGTTCTTCCTAGGAGGAGTTTTTGAATGTTGTGGACTTTTTGTTACAAGTGATGCATTATTTATCGCTGCACCAGACAACTTAGAATAACCACGCCTAGCGATCATAAAAACATGAGGATTAGGATCTCTGCCACATAGAGATGCCTCCATTCCATAAAATTCGAAGATATCACAAATAAACCGGCCATTACGTATGCCATCAAGCCTATCGAAAGAGTTTGACTAGTGGTGCCAACACTAGGTTTATACTTCAGGCTGGTTTCGTCGTCCTCACAACCATTTTAGGGAGAAGTGAGCCGTAGTGGTAAGTAATCCCCAGAATTGTTAGCAGCGCTCATCACATAATATCGGTCGCTGATCCTCACCGTTTAAGTCGACTTGTTTATCTGAAGGCTTACGGTCAAGCATCCACGCCATTTGACACGGCCTCGTGTTACGTTCGTTCGTTCGTGCAAAATTTCTAGCTAGTTAAGCAGTCAACTCGCATTACGACTGGGTCTCGAAAAATACTTCGTAATTTGGATGATCAATTCGGTGTTTTGCTTTGCCTTTGGCCTACGCTGAATGAATACTATGGAATTTTTTTGTATTACATCTTGCGTTAGCATACATCCGTACTATCCGTGGATGTCAACTCCATCAGCCTCTAAATGGTAATATTAATAAATATGTCAAGAAAATTATCTCTAAGTTCCCATTGTTACGAAGACGCTCCGCACCGATAAAAACTATGTACTTTCTTCGACTTTAACTCCAAAACACCAGTATTGTATGAAGGAAGTTACATTGTTTGGCAATTTAAACGGAGAACAGTCAAAGTCTATAAACAAATATTTTTTGGCAAAATTATGTAGTACTTTTATTCGTTTTTGGTCGTCCTCTTCGAACTTGTACACGATCGAACCATTCGCGCCTTCGAGTTGCCCACGAATGACTACCAATTCCAAAAACAAACGTACAATGTTCACCTCCTTTGACATAATAGATGCCTTCGTATATGGGGCAATCCTGTCAAAATATATCCTGGACCCAGGACCTTCCAATTTAGTGGCTATCAGCGTGTTTTCCAAAATGAAAATGGGGAGCATTTGGGGGAAAAACATACATCAGAAGCAGCGGTGAAGAGAGGATGAGCACCTAAGTTCAGCACCAAGAAGTAAGCGAAAAGAAATCATTTTAGTTTACAGTAGCTCGTTAAAGGATATGAGATATTATCTCGTCTGGTTATACTGGATTTTGGCAGCAGGAACAGTAAAACCCTGAGCACACAGGAGATGCATACGCTCCAATGACCCTGAAAAAGAACCACGGAGCCCGCTCCGATTCTCAAGGTCGTTTGGGTGAGTCGTCATGTTTGTTGATGCTAGTTCTCACATGGTTACTTTAAACGTCAGACGAAGCGTTTATAGTCCCTTTTAGTTTTATAACTATCGGCTTCTATCATTTTCATTACCTATTCAACCCTGTAAAAATTCAGTGTAATAAAATTTTATACACAAACATGAGCACGTGTTCGTTGAGGAGCGTCTCTGATGGATTGGTGTATCAACATAATGTTGATTTCACAGTGCATTATGAGCGTTCTTATGTTTTACAGAGCCCTTCAATCAAATTTAGCAACATCAAAGTCGCTATCCCAGCTAGCATTTTTCGGGCAAATTGCAGACGTTTTGGGGCAGACATCGGGACAGTGTCCCACGTAAGTTGATTTACCCGAAGTTTTCTCCCCCCAAAAAGTCTGCAATGAGCCTGAAAAAAATGCTAGCTGGGATAGACAATAGAAAATTCCCAAGCGAGTGATATCAATTGACTGCTTTGATGTAGTATTCCTGTATGCTCATATGTTCGACATTGAAACACACGTAATTGTCAAATCACCAGGTAACTCCACATAGTGGCTGGTGCATTACATTACTTCCTTCATGTGCTATAAATTTGTTTACAGTTGCTCTGAAATCTGTCACTCCCCAGGTATTTCGGTGACACTTCCACTGTGCACCGATGACAACTCCCGAAACTTATATGTACCACAGCAATGCTGCCAGTTTTGTATAGACTGACTAGCTCATCCACGGCCTGTTGTAATACCTTCCTGTCTTTACTGTTTAATAATAATCTTTATTCGTCCCTGATTGACAAAGAATAACTTAACAGTGACGTTTGTTTCGAATTCTCTTCTGAGTCTTACAGCCTTAGAATAAAATTTATTACCAATTTGGCGATAGCTGGAGATGTCGCTATTGAATTTCTGTGGCAAAATTGGATTACTTATATTAAATTATACTAGTTTCACTTTATATTTGTAAGTTAAGTGTGATAGGCTATATACAGTTGTGAATGTAGTCGGATAAAGTAAAAATGTAGAGTTTGGTGCATTCATCATAATCGATGGTTAATTAGATAAGATTGAGTCCATCTGATGGGCTTCATGTCACATTATTTATGGTTTCTTCTCATTGACTTCCGTTCGACTTGAAGAAAGTTGCAAGATTGAGAAAACGCCAAAATAATAGATTAGCTAGCTTTTCTTTACTGGTTGCCCTTGCTCTTACAAAGTAAATAGTGAGAAATGCTGTATGAAGTTGAGTTACACAGTAAATGTCTAGTCATAATACATTCATACTGTGTGAGACAAGAAAATTAAGAACATAACTGAGTATGCTAAGTTAATCGAGTGGTTGAGATGAGTATTTCATTACAAAACATTCAGTATGTAAAGTGAACGACGTAGTCATAATTATATTAGCAGCTTGTTTATATCAGTCGTTTATATGCAGTCGTCCCCAAAGCCCTCGGTAGAACAACGGAATCTCGTCTTTCCAACTCTTATCATTTATAGGTACAACGTTTTCGTTCTTTCTTTTCCTTTTCTCTTTTTTCTGTTATGTGCTGCTTTGTTTCTTTCTTCCTTACAAACTCTATTTAAAACATTCTTCTTCGATCTTGCACACTCTGTATACCTCGACCCTTTTGTTACCATTTACGCCAGTAAATATGCTACCATCTGCTTTTCTAATTCCTTCAAACACGCTGTTCAATTTTGGCTTCGCTACCGACATGCCAATAGGTTGTTAAAAATAACTGAGATTACCCTTATGTAGAATTTTATTTAATTGTTAATGTACTAACTGGATGCAATACTGTAGTAAAATGCTGAGAATTCCATTCTGTATCACAAATACTGTTTTTGGAATAAAGCAAATTATTATTATTATTATGCTTTCCAGTAAGAGGATCAACGACTACTTACAAGGAAAATGTGGATAAGAAAACAAATTAAAATAGATGACGCCAACTCTAAATCTTTCCCTAGTTGTAAACCTAACCTTAATGCTGACCCTAACGCTAACCCTAAATTTAATCCTAATCACAGAATGAATTGAATGAAGCAACAAACAGTCAATGAAACGTATTGCGTGCTATTACACGTGTTGCAATTTCCTTCTTTCTTGCCTTCCCGATGATAGTTAACGAATACTGTTTGAACTTGTTAAGCATGACTGTTTTCCTTCAAGATGAAGTTCTTTATTCGTTGTCTACTTATATATATATATATATATATATATATATATGTTTCTCTTCTTTCTTTTTTTCTTTTGATCTATGTTGTTTTATTATCATTGTGTGGCGCATCCTCCTTGGTGCCATATTGTACCAAGTTTTTATGCGTTTAAATAAACAAATAAAATAAATCCCAACCCTAACCCCCAATACTTACCTTAATCCTAATCCTAACAAGCTAGTAACGCATTGTCGAAACAGTACTTAAAAACGTGATCTGAGTGAAATTTGCTGCTTAGTTGGTGAATAGCGTTGATGTTTCAGCTATGATAATGACAGGTGCCGTCAGCCGACTACTTGCATGCGTTCAAGGTCATTTGACTTTCGCACTCCTGGGACACTATTGTTGAACTTCGCCACTGCATTAATTCCTATCTTCCCAGGGTATCCACTGTCTCAAGTATTTCCTGGACCAAAATGACTCCACTTCTAATGCTAAACACGTGATGAAGTGTGGATATTTTATCAGTATAAAGCGAAAGAAATATGTGTCTGACTTTTACTACTAGTTTTTGAAATACACTTCTCCCAAGACAAATGTGTTTACCTTTCATTAGTAAACCATCGGGGAAATGTAGTTACATTACTCACCTTTATGTGTGAAGTAAACTGTTAGATGTGCGTTACTGAATAGACTTAAAACTGAACGGTTACATAGAAATGTGTGATAGAATATGAAAATATCTCTCATTTAAGTACAGCATTACAACACTTATTTCGTCCTTCAATAAGTCATTATTTAGTTCTGCTAAAACTTAATCCGCAAATATAAAGCCTAGTAGAGATCCTGTCATTACTCCATCAACCCGTCTGTATAGTGCTTGATTAGATTTTAACTGAACATTCATTGTACATTTAAGCAATACGTCTCTCAGACTTACAATAGGTAACCCCGTATATAATGTTTGCTAATTGTTGGCAGATATAAGCTACGGCTTCAATAAAATGGATGTTGGCAAACTAAAATTTTTCACCAGAGACTGCCGAAAATTTTGGTTCTTGATTCCACTAATAAACTAAGAAGTATCTTTGATGCCATATTTAGCTAGTCTGTCACGCAAAGGTTGGAGTGACTGTACTAGCCACTGTATAATCGTAAGGTTAGACGAGTCCGACTTACCTAGAACGAGATAGCACTTTTGATTTCTATTTGTTTGTTAAAATTTACACATGAAGCGATGCTGTCTAAGTTCCTTAGAATTAGTTACAGTTTAAATGAAATGTACTCATAGAATTAGGTCTGTCTTCTTCTAACTTTTCACCTATGGATTTCGTTGGTTTTGTGCCTGAAAGTTGATTCCTTACTGAAACTCACAATGGCAATTCTAGCCACATTGTCAGGAAGAGTGATGATAATATTCTTACTTAGTTTCGGTTTTTTAATAACCTGGCGGTGTCTAGTTTGCACATGGATGAGACAGTCTTATTCTCCACCTGTGCCGACTGCAACAACGTAATAAAATTGGTGTAACTGGGTTGTCAGAGACAATCGACGAGAAGCCATGCCTAATTAGATGAGACAGTGAAATCCGCTGTTTGTAAATAAGGGTTTTCAAACTGCACTTTTGCATCTATTCGACTAAAATCTTTGCAAATACCACAAAACTTAAGTACAAGGGTAGTCCTTGCAGTCAAACTGTATCAAGAACTATACTAAAATAGTTTTGAACTAACTTCTCATGGTTTGCAGGGAACTCACTTTGTGGTATTTGAGAAGTTCACCAAAGGTCCAGGAAGTTAAAATTCAATTTTGCACTTTATTAGGTGTGTTTGATAGACTAAAATCTCACGTATTCTGGACTATCAAGAGGTACATACTTGCCTTGTGATGCATTTACTTACATACATTAGTTATAAGTGAATTAATCTAAACTAATTAAAAACTTCGTTTTGAGATATTCTGATTTTCCTTAAAGGCTTTCGGTAGAGTTTATGGTAATGAATTTACCTGTTACTCAATTTTATTAGTGTTACAAATATCCTCGAATCACACAGCATAAATGATTGAAAGTCCTTTGTGAAATGTTTTGAAATAGTTTACAGCAATGGAGACGTATTTACTGACTGTCATCTCCAAAATTTCGAGCGTCAATATCCTTCATTTAATTATTCATCTATGTCCGTTCATTTTGATGTCTTCCTATTTCTATTTCCTAACTCTTTGTGTTATTTTGAATTTTAATAACACAAAGTCCTACATTGCTTTACCAGTTCATCACTACTTGCCATTTTGATAATGAATGCGTTTTCTTGCTGAATTTATGTGTGCCACTTTAAGGTTTACTAAGGTCAAGAAATACATGAATTTGCAGACTGTTTTCTTATTTTACATAAAGAGTCAAATAAATCGGTATATAGGATTCTGAAGTAAAGGTGTATTTACAGGTCAATACCCACCAGGTATAAAATGGTAGGTGTGAATTATCAGCTTAAACACTTGTCTTTCAGCTGATGAGCTCAGAGTTCAAAATACATGACATCAACTTTACTGTAGGGAGGCATAAAGCACATGTGCTTACATATCAATCATATGTCATAGGTTTTTTAATATAAGGAAGCATGTTCCGGTTGAGTTTCGCGGTTTAATAATAGTACAAGCTATTACTGTTACTAAACCTTCTTATAAAGCGTCATTTCTTTTGTGCAAAATTACAGTTGGATGGATGTGAGAAAGATCAGTGTGTCGCATGTCAATTTTTGGAGGTGGTTAACAGAAGAGTAATAATAATAATAATAATTGCTAAAGAGATTTCTATAAGGTGGATTAATGCCTTGTCAGTAATAGCAGTAGTATTTACGAGGCAGGACTTCAGGTGTATTATTTTTTACAGTCGTAACAAGATGGTTCTGCAACTTCAAGATATGTTAAAATCCCTTGTTTTTTCTTTATAAGCTAAAAATGTAGTTGGGTGTAGAAATCTCTTATCTTCTAGCTCTCAAATCTCTAAACCAACTATGTGGTAGGTTCAGTAAATTGTCTGAAAATGGTGTCGATTCGATATTCATCTCACTACTTTCAACCAAGCAATATGTTTGCTTGCAGATATATTTTCGTTCTGTCTACAGTACTGTACTTTATCTGCTTGACACTACGTCAATATTTCTGATTTTAGCAAATTCTGTCTAGACGAACCATTCAAAATCAGCTACAGAAACCAGCTAAATCATTTTCACACATACAACCAACTAATTTCCGCTATATATGGCGCTAAGGTCTGTTGCCAAATTTTCGCGCATCGCTAATATTGGTTCACTATCTTTAACTCAATTTTGGTAAGTCCCTATCTTCTTTTTACCATCATTCATATTAGTCATCCCATACAGTCACCAGTGCAAACTTGTTTCAGTATACGTCTCAATTCTAAACTTAGTACAGGAAACACTGAGGAGTCTACAATTCCAAAGGAAAACGACGGTGATAATGAAGGTCTAAAGGTTGAAATGCAACAGCTTACTGAGAAATACAGTGAACTAGAAGACAAATATAAGAGAGCCCTGGCTGAATCAGAAAACATGCGTAAGCGTCTAACAAAGCAGATAGATGATGCCAAATTGTTTGGAATTCAAAACTTCTGTAAAGACTTGCTAGAGGTTGCTGACATTCTCACAACTGCTACTGAGTCATCTCCCCAAGATCAATTAGAAGAGGGAGTCAACCCTTCCTTCACTAATTTGTATAATGGACTGAAAATGACAGAAATGCAACTGTTTAAGGTAATACAACTTTGATTTTCCTGGTTTTCACCGTTACCATACACATTTGTTTGACTTCTCATGAAATTTCATGTCAAATAAAGACATACAATATCAACACGTCACATTGCTACCTATTGATCCTCTAGTCGCTATATCATATATCTGTGCACCAAACAGATGCCAACAGAATAGGAGGTAGTACCTGTAAAAGACATTTTACAATTCATACAGATAAAGAGGAAGCGGGAGTTAATAATGTAGGACCTAACGAATTCATAAATATCAATAAAAAATATCTCTGGCTGTTTATTTCAGGAATCTTTTTTCGTCCACAGTTAAATGGTATAGTTCCGTTCTCCACATAACTGAACTATGAAGGGAATGTACATCTCGTCCGACCGCTATTTTAAATGACTGTCATCGTCAGGTAGAAACTGCGAATGACACCACTAGAGAAAAAGCCCCAAATGGCTACAAATGATTTCCTGGTTTTCAGTTTCAATTTCGCTTATTCATTCTATATTTTACTGCAGTCACTAATTTTGCACACAAAACGTTTTACTCTCACAGGTTTTCGCACGCCACAGTTTAGTTCGCATATCCCCAAAAGTCGGTGAAAATTTTGACCCAAACCTTCATGAAGCCGTTTTTCAAGCTCCTGTGGAGGCAGGAAAAGAGAAGAATACTGTCGCAGTTGTCACTAAAGTGGGATACACGCTACACGGACGTACTCTCAGACCAGCTTTCGTAGGCGTATTCGGTCCTTAAAACGAGCAGAAAACCAAACAACTAGCAATACTGTTTGTTTCATAATTGTACTATCTGAAGTATGATATAAAATTGATCTACATTGTTCAGTTTTCAATCACATTGATGATTACCGTGGTCATCCTACGTAGAGGTGTTTCTAGAATGGCCACTTGTTTTTGCCTTATTTTTTCTAATGTTTGGTTACCTAATTAAAGTATCAGATATCGGATAGTTGGTTCTGAGTAATTCAGTTCAGAAGCGCTACTTTAAATATGGGGCAATTCTGTATAAAGGGATGTTAGTGCTTTTACAGCATTTAGTGGGAAATCTTCATTTTATATGATGACTTTTACATTTTAGCGAAGAAAACACTGTCTAAGTGTGCTGATGCAAGTACGTGTGAGGTTATTATTCTCAAGACTGCACACACTGTGTAAGTTGACGTCTTCCTCAGGTACCTTAAACTTGAAAGAGTATTGGCGTTTTTCAACTGCAAAGCCATGGGGACAACTGCCTGAAGGCGGTTAAACATGGCCTGTTTGAAGTGGCTTTCGGAGTTGTACCCTTATTATGAAGTCGGGATGTACACCTTCTGGGGTCAAACAGAATATTGTGAAATGGACTGAATTCATCTAAATTTGTGTTTTCCAAACCTATTGGACGAACTAATCTCAAAATATGTGTAAATTTTGTTGGCTTAGGGTTAAACTGCAGCTTGCAAACAATTCGCTCGAGTTAGACAATAAATCCAACATGGCATCTGTCTTTTTACATCCATACCTTAAAGTGCATATGACGTGATTTTGGACCTAACAAGAAACATGTTCTTTAAGATGACAATACATAATACCACAAAATAGTAATACTTAGACATTTGTGTTCAAAATCCACTAGCACATTTGTATCTCCTACTTTAACCGGCCATGATTCTGGCTGTCTGGTTTCAACGTAGAACTTTGCACAGATATACAGCAGTTCGGGTTGCCATACTCTATGTAGCACACAAAGCAAGAGAAGAGTAAAGAAAGATAATAAACAGAACTATGAGGCAAAAAGAATAGTAATATGAAGGAACAATAGGATCTTGTTGGATATGATAAATCACAGAGTGGACGCATCTGGGCCAGTCACTGAGCAAGATTTCCACCCATATCACCAATTGTCTCCAGTCTTCACTGGTTCTTACCATCCCGAGGACACAACCAGTCAGGAACTCTACACCTTTCTACGTAACTTAAACTAACTGTTGTGGATTCCATTGACTGACGAAGCCATGTTTGGTTTGACCACCATTAGATCTTTCCCAACCTGATCCATTCTATGTCAGGTAACATTGCCCGTCGAGGATGGCAATGGCTAGATATGCATGCGTGACACATGTTCTAACCATCTCAATAGGTGTAACTTCACAACCTCGTCAATTGATTTTTACTCCTTACCTAGCACTCGACGCCTAACCCCAGTATTGCTCACCTTATTATACCCCTTAACACGGAAGATATAACGCAGACACCTATCAACAAAGACAGCTAACTGGCCTTTTCATGTCTTCCACTTTCAATGGTCATGTCTCACAGTCAGCCATGAAGGGGGACAGAGCGAACTTCTGAACAGTACACACGCCCTTTGATCGATAGCCAGCCGGATATGACGTCTTCACCAGAGATGGCATAAGTCAAACGAGCTTTCTGTATCTGTGCTGAGATTTTGTCGGCACTGACGCAGCTTCCCAAGTAAATGAATTAATCAACACGCTCCACCACTTCACTCTCTCTCTCTTAGCTAGGAGTCACTGTAGTCCAGTCCTGTAGCACCATCTTACACTTGACAGGACCGAATCGCATGCCAAACATCCGAAGATTGCTGCTCAGTTCAAGGTGTTCGGAAGACTGCTCTATTTTGTCAGCATCTTCGCCCAGAAGGAATATATCATCTGCATATTCTACGTCAACGAGATTATTCCTTGCTAGTAAGTCAATCCCTGAGTCGCTGAAGTCACTAGTTAGGGTTAATTCCACTAGTACATCCATGATGAAATTAAACAGAAATGGGGACAGTGGGGATCCCTGACGGACACCACCAGTTCAGATGACAACTAGTAAGCTATTATCTGGCTGCATGAGTTCGAGTAGAGTGAGTGGCCTTGATCAGTGCAATGTATTTTCTCGGCATTCCGTTTACAGCCAAGCATCGCTAGAGAGCCTCTCGGTCGACAGCATTGAATGCCGCCTTTAGGTCAAGAAATTCAACGATTTTTAGACGCTGGTAAGTGTGCCTTTGTTCCGGAATTTGCCGAAGGATGAAGATATGATCGATGAGCCCTTTTTCTGGTCTAAAGCCTGCCTGATCCTCTTGTGTTTGTTCCTCCTTAGCACCGCTTAGTCTCCGCATGATTAATGAGCCTAGAACTTTAGATATTATATTTGTGAAGCTAATCTACCTGTGATTACCACAGGAAGACTTGTCTCTTTTCTTGTATATCGGGGTAATCAATGACTAACACCAGCCCGACGGGACTTCCTCTGATCCACAGACGCTGCCTGTTACCCTACTTAACGCAGACAGTAAACCGTCCGTGAACACCTCTGGAGTCATTCCATCAGTTCCCGCTGCTCTGATCTGCCTCAGACTAGTGACAGCTTTTATAACCCTAGTTAGTGACGGAGGACCGGTGTCTATATCTCATTCAGGGAGGTATTGGATGCCGGGTAAGTTGAGCGCGGCTACAGGTCAACTAAATTGCTCCTCTAAGTGTTCTTCCCAACGTTTCAGTTATCTATTCTGAGGGCTAATTATGGTGCCATTTTCCTCACAGATTGTTTCACTATTCATCATCACTTATCGTTCAGCTATTCTACTCCCTATTCTTAAACTAGGAACCAGTGCTGCAGCTTCATCATGCACTTGGTAGGTGTGAATTGGATGTCGAACATACTAAGATTTTCGCTTGGATTTTAGGATTTTTATTGACAGCATCTTCGTTTGCATCATTTGTACTCTAAATCAGAAAAACTTCCTCCTAACAGATCACTATCACGAACACCAAAGTCCACCAGGTCGCATTCATCAGCACCTCTACGGTTACATTAAGTAAAAATAGTGACAGTAGACATCTCTAGCTAACCTCCAGTTGCCGTTTTCTCTAATCCTTCTTATGCTCTCACCCTACTGCACAGATCCGACCAGCGCTTCGATTAGCACAATGTAGTTTCTCCGCACATAAAGCCAAAGGACCATAGGTAGGATCCAATATACAAAACTGCAGCAGAAGCACAACATAATGAACGTCATAAGTGAGTAAGCCAGTGACAGGATGTACAAACAGTCATATATTTTGTGTGGTAATAAACCATCCTACTTACTGTGGGGAAGGTTGTGTCAACATGACTTAGTGCGGCAACCAACGATTCTGCAAAATACAAAGTCGTAAGTAACTATTCAGTATAAAGGGAAAAGACTTTTTGTTACTTCACGCCATAGCATATAATATACAAAGTGACCGACAGTCATACTTGGCGTTTTCTCCTGTGTAGCTAAAAATTACCGTAGATTGCATTCCCAATCATAATGATAGTTGGCCTTCTGCCTATCAGGAGAACTGATAGTGATGATTGTGTTTTACAGCTTCGTTAGGAAAATCTCTTACTACTAGTCTTTTAAATGTGAACATAATGAAAGAAGTCATATCACTCAGTGACCGTCGGCATTCCGCCAACGGCTGACACTTAATAGGCTGTTTAGTTGTAAGTGATCTGTGGGAATAGAGGTAATAAAGCCACATAGATTTCTGTAGTCTCATGCGAAATGACTGATCCCAAGGGATTCTCAACGCTGCACATAGTGTCAGAACCTTGATACTTTTCTCAATGACCCCGGCTACTAGGGGTTGGGTTAAGCGTAGAACTTGTCACCACTCAAAAGCACACGTATATTATGTAACAAACTTTAGAAAAGCCACAAGATGTGTACAGAAGGACATTAGTAACTACGATATGTCAGAACGCTGTGATGTACACTCGAGGGCAGTTAGACTGACCTCGAGTAAACAAAAATATCCAAAACTTGTCTGTAAATCAAATTAACTGAAGTACTAATTGTTGAATATGAACTCAAACCTCCCACATGAGACTGGTGTGAATAGGCAATCGTCTCAGATCTCATTTATTAGGAATCACGACACTGGATCCCCATCCATACAAACTGTAGTGCCGAAAGCCCAACCAGCTCCAAACCCCGAACAACGAAACATCAGACCACTACTCTTAACAGCTTCGTGTTACAGCCATACTTAGTGGTACCCAATAAGTCCTAAGTTTATTGACTTAGAATAAGAACTCCATCCCATCAGTCGAGAAGTGTTGTGGTACTGTTCACCTGTGTACCACGAAGGATACTAGTTACCCACTTTTTGAAAACTGAGATTCAATGACACGTTCCTATCAAGATAAGTTGGAAATACTCTAAAAGCTGCCTAAACTAAGCACGCTTTGTCTAAGGACTGAACCACCTCAACAAAAACATGCAGTCCATATTCTAAGTTATTTACTACCGAACACACACATCCAACCAGAATGCACGTCAACTTGTGACCTCAAATCAAGTATTATAGTGTCCAGAAGAAATGCTTGTGACTAGTCATGCATTTAATATAAGTATCTCTGATATATAAGCGTTGGATTCATCTTATCTAAAACAATGAACATAAGTGATTGATGCTGCAAAAATACGCCAAATTTAATTTTTAGATGCCACTCTAGAGTTCAATGACGAGGGCTTCCAGAGCAAACGGAAAATCACCATACTTAGGAATTCTGTAAGTAGGGAACTTTTGACACTACTGATTTCTAGCTTAGTGTAGTGTTGCGCACTAAACGAAAATCCATCACGACATTGTCTGCCTCAGCGAACAGGAAAGGTCAACTTCATCACTTACATTATTCACGCCTTCAGAAGATTATTATCATAAAGGTGACCCGGGAAAAGTCAGCGATCAATACTTATGCATAATAACTGGAAACTTTCTTATAGATAATCGCGATGTTACTGTTTTTCGGCTTTAATATTGCTGTATTCCAGTTGTATAAAAGGCTCCCTCTAGGTAATTGTAGTCATTTTAAGCTGCCGTTTGGAGTCAAGATGTTTTGAAGTCTATCATATACATGGTGGACGTGATGTTGGCAATCGGCATCAATTAGCGATGGCATAATTAAAGAACGACAGTCCGTGGTCAATCGATTCAGATTATAAGGATAGAAGGCTCTTGTTGCCTATGTTAATCACCGCGATATGTATCTCTGCAAAGACCCAGTTTCTCTTTGAAAGTGTTCACTGACGGAGTTATTACTATCAGGTAAGGAGTTCCAGTCGTTGACCACTCTGTGAGAGAACCTTGACTCCAAACGTATTGTATTCGACCTCGGTTTGAGCACCTTCCTGGGGTGACCCCGTAAACTGAGTTCCGCTTGTAACCCGGTTCATCTAATAGTGAAATCATGAGCATAGTACCGGTAAGCCTCAAACTGCTATTACCTCACGTTTTCTGAAAGACTTATTTTACTTAATCTTGAACCCTCCTTAAAGCCTTTCAATGACCCCAACCAGTTTGCTAAACATAGGTGTACCTCAGATGCCGCCGTTGTCATATATAGTCTCTGGTTCAGATAGAGGAGCTAAATACTTTCGGTGTGCCTTCCTTGATTACTCACCTGAATTCTACTCTGTTCCCAAGTCTCTCTTTCTGCAACACAGGCTGAGAGCTGGACAAATAAGTGGTTGCATTCCTATTTTTCTGATAGGAAGCAGTACATCGTCTACAATGGAAAGTCCTCCACTACCTCACTTACTTTAGCTGGTGTTCCTTAAGGTGCTGTTCTTTCTCCCTTTCTGTTTTCGTTTTTCTTGCATGACTTACCTCATTCTGATATAGCCACTTTTGTTAAATATGCCGATGACCTCTCTGTTTCTATGCCCGTCTACTCTCGGTCAGATTGTTCCAAATTAAATAACTTTCTGTCGGAAATTAGCCAGTGGTCCTCTTCAAGCGGTCTTAAGATAGATCCGTCTAAATGTCAGGTAGTCAATTTCACTTTAAGACGAAAACGTGACCTACAACAACTAGCTAGCTCACATGGCCCCACTAGCATTGACGGCACAGAGGTTGAAACTACATCTAATGTCAAGTACCTTGGGCTGAGTTTTTCCACCGATCTTTCTTGATGCTCCCACATCTTGCTAGTTACTAGAAAGATGTTTCGCTTAACGTTCTACGTTAGGAAGTTTAGGCAGTCTGGCATAGGGCAGTCTTTGCTTTCTCAGTTTGTCAATTCTTGTATTCTACCCATCCCCCTTTACTGCTCCCCATTACTCTTTCCTGAACTACTTAAGAAAGACTTTGCTTTGCTGAGAAGGGCACTAAAAGCCATTAGTAGGCCAAGTGGGATATCGTTAAACCAACTGGTTAACACTATTGTAGATAGACATATAATGTCATGTAAGAAACTAGCGAATACAATATTGTCAGACCCCGAGCATCCTCTCTATACGCAGCTCTCTCCTTGCATCGCATCTGGTAGAACTAGAAGCAGCTATAGGAGGCTAAATGTTAGGACTACTAAGTACAAAAACTCCACAATACCATATCTGGCACAGCTGTTATGTGATGAGAAATCCGTTTTATATATTTTTTTAATTTTTGATTGCAGCTTGATTCCAAACCGTATTTTTGGTACAAGTATGGAATTTTCAGCGTGGATATTGGTAGCCCAAATTTCGCAGGCCGACCATAGATATCAGGTGTGCGTCGGTGTGGGCTCGAACCCGGACCATGTGCATGGTCGGCGAGTCCTAACCACTGTGCCACCGACGCACGTATGGACACGATCAAATTACTGCGGCATTCTAACGAATAGTCCCATTAGTTTTTGTTTTCCTTTCTTCGTTACTATTATACTGTTGTTTACATCTTCTATTACACACTAATCTCATATTTCATATCCTGTGGTGCATTGCTTAAAATGTAGACGCAAAGCTGTTTTTTTATTTCTTTTTTGGGGTGTTGCTTTTTGATTTTAAAATCTTATGAAATTTATGAGGTAATTAGATGCAATATTGTAATGCACGCTGGGAACTCCATACATGTACCACAAATACTGTTTGGAATAAAGCAGTTATTATTATAAAATAGTTGTCCATTTTACAATGATTCGATCACTAAATTTGGTTCAGGATATCACCGCTACGTATAGAAGCCTGGATACCAAGCGTCATTCCGTCTGTTTTAAGCATAGACCTCAAATTTAAGAATCACCTTCCAAGTAATTCAGTACTACGCATCAGGCTGCTCTACTTATTGAGTTGCGCAGGTCTCCCAAACGGGTATCTACTTCCCAAAAATTTCACTTTTTTAAACGTCTCCGGAAACCTGTCATCTGCAGTAAGTCACATCGCTGATCCATACGATGAGAATTACTTACCTGCAACCAGCTTTTACTACCTGATGACTATTTTGGACATATTAGAAGAACCCATCGTGAAATAATGTTGCCATTTTCCTAAAACATGTTTATTTTAATTTTATTCGAGAGACATCTGATGTGTTGCAACTGGTGTCCAGAAAAGCGTGGTAAGGAACGTGCAACCGGATTAATCAAGTACCGATTTCTTTTGCAAACTCTGTTGGACTTGTACCAACTTAAGGGACAATTATTAACATTTATGCAGTGTAAAAATAGTAGTCAATAATTCTTCTAAATACTTGTGAATTCTAAGTAATGCCTCAAGTCACAGGGGCTCTGAATGTGCACATAAGAGGTTCGCCATCATTTTTTCCTCAACTAACCTACCCCGAAACCATTATCCCAGGTATCCCGAGAGTAGTTTCGAGTCATTTCAAAAATCGAGATATTTCTCCACAACTTTAAGCCGTTTGCAGGCATTCCGAAGATTGGTTTGGTGGTGTCCGTTGGAGAATTTTTTTTATTTATTTTTTGATTACAGCTTGATTCCACACCGTATTTTTGGTACAAGTATGGAATTTTCAGCGTGGATATCGGTAGCCCAAAATTCGTAGGCTTACGTCGTACAGCCTTTAAGTGGCATGCAAAACACTGAAATGTAAATGCATAAAAAGACTGCAATCAAAATATATGTTCCCAAAGCACCATGGGAGATGAGGAACTACACTCAGTTAGCGACTTCATGTTTACTCACCAACGGCTGTGAGATAATTTAGTAACCCGTGAGACGCGTTAACACACCGTAACCAAATGACTTAACGCAAACCTCAGTTTCACAATATTGAAAACAACAGAGGATAACCGCCTCTTCGTTTTGAAAATTCAGTATAAAATTTTTATTTCAAGTATTCGTCCTTCACAAGCATCTCTAACTTTCTAAAAATGACTCGTCACTTAAATGTACTACGTACTGGCTTCAGAACTATGCTTGAGATTCTGTTCTCTCTGTTTTTCTTCGTTATTAACTTGATGATCTAGGTGAACACGATTCGTCCTGTTGTCAGACTTCTTATGATGCTCCTCAGCGTCCCTTTTCGTTCGGTTTTTACCACCCTTTGAACCCGCTATCTTGTCTTCTTCATAGTTATAATGTTCATATTCATCTCGCTCTTCGACGACGCTACTATCTGCCATAGCTACAACGCCAAATTTTTTAAAATTGCCTCCCTCGGCGCAAATCCGTTTAAACTGCGAATGGAAGCACTTCCTAACAATCCATTCTTCTTGATTTTAATGTGCTACTATATCCCTACAACTGTTTGTATAGTTTAGTCAGTGAATAAACGACTTTTGAGGATTAGGTTGCTAATTTTTCCTTAGATTGAGAAAATTATTGGTACAAAGTAATACGATGAACCCATACCTACAAGGCTTTGGATAATCAGTTAAAAGTTGTGCGCTTTTAGCTGTTTCTCTGCCTCAAAAAACCGAGTATAGCAACTCATCTGCACTATTAAAATATTTCCATGGCTGTTGATAGTTTCGTCCACCTTTTTAGCATCACATATATGGACAATCGGCCTTTAAGTCTGCATTAAATGTTTTGGATTTTTGGGTAACAGTGACCTTACATCCTTTTGTGTGAGCCAGCAAAATAGGATCAAGCTTTGTTTTTCCACAAACAATTCCAGTATCAAGAATAGGACTCTCGTAGTTGACAGCTGTGTTATGTGACCCTGCAAATCACTACTTCTGAAAGATACAAAGAAGCAGAATCACTCAGCATCCATATGCAGTTTCCACATGAACGCGCCATCTGGAGTATATTTCCCAATCTCCTTTGGGAACCCATCATATCTCTGTTAGAAAAATAACAATAGAATTCACCGACTGACTTTAGAACCTGACATTTCCTGAGATAGCTTACTATAGCAATCCAAATTAATCGTTGTCTAGCTTCCATCCTCCAATAATCAACCACATCTCTTCACGTGCATAGACTGGTTCACTTGAATGATGGAAACAAGCGCTATATTTTATATCACCAGCGGGTTGGGTTTTCAGGGAAGGATAGTGGATGCATTTTGTGCTATGAAAATGACCAGGTGCAACACATCGAATATGTCAGTTTCAGAAAGCTTTGAAATTTCTTAACACGCGAATGTAATTGAGCCACTGCGTGTTGTTCAAATTTTGTCAGGTTACTTGTAAACCTAGTTAATTCTAGTGAACCCTGTGGAATCAAAGCAGTCTAAAGGACTCTAATGAAGGACTCTAGTCTTCCTCTCTTCACATGAAGTTCCTTGTCTTAATGTGAAATATTATGACCAGTTAGACACTCATGCTCTGTAGGAAGATAGTTCACCCCAATATTGGTCACCGTGGAATTGTGTTTCGTATCCGCTTCACTTTTGCCTTTCGGTGAGATTGTACTCTGTGCACAACACCCTGGAACCGGAATAACCCCAAGGCCATAGTAAACAAGAGAGGATTTCCGTTATTAGTTTTGTTGACTAGACCAAATTTCTAACTTTTTGGTCAGAAACCTGGCTTGGTCGTTCCAACACTTAACACAACTAAGTTTCCTTAAAACCAGGGAGACAGCTAAATCAGTAGAGAAAATACGTTACATTATTATTTTAAATAGTTGGCTCTCTTACTGTTGCCTCTAATATTCCGTCTTCTGTCAACAAAGTTGTACTTTACATACTATCTGACATTTTGTGTTTATTTTGCGTTTTTGCCCCATCGGACTCATACATTTCTGGTTTGAATTGACACTCTGCTAACTGAGAACTAATTTTGGATTCAACTAATGTATTCTTTGTTTTTGGACTCCGGATAATCTCATATTTAGAGGTTTACACCGTGTTTATCCGACATATTACGTTTAATAGACCTTGGCGGCCTGCTTAAATCTTGGGCTACCAATTACCTTAAACATTACAAATCATATTGCATCTAATTTCTCATTTCTAATTGATATTTTAATCAATAAATCTTATTCAAATATGACCTCAAATCGGATTATTTATTCTCGTGAATATCTAATATCTTTAAAACCTACTGATCTGCAACTCCATAAAAAAGACAAGAAAAAGCATCATGCCGGCTGGCAGAGAGCATTAAAAAATACCCCTATTCAATTCATGACTGTTCCCGCAATTATGAGTACCAATTGTCGCTCCCTGCCGGCTAAAATTAACTGTCTTCAATCGCTGGTGTCTTCCATTATATATCATAATACTGGGATCATATCACTTCAAGAAACATGGCTTCATGATCTATATGATGACAATCTAGTGTATCTAAATAATTTCAAACTATTCAGACAAGATCGGTGTAGTTCCAGGAAGAAACGCGGTGGCGGTGTCGCCATCTTCATCAATTCACAATGGTGTACGTCTAATAATGTATGTTTCAAATTCTCTAGTGACAATATTGACTGTCTCACCGTTAAGTGTCGACCTAAACATTTGTCAAAATACAACTACATTTACATCTCGAACATGTATATTGCTCCTGGATGCAACTCCACAGAATTATCTTTATTTGCGGATGAATTTACTTCCCTTGCTGCCACCTCCTTCGGAAATTCCTTGTCTATAGTTACTGGTGATTTTAATTCTAGTGACCACAGCTTCCTAATTTCACTTGGACACGATAATATTGTCAACTTCCCGACTAGAATGGACAACACTCTTGACCTTGTTTTCACAAACGATGCAGGAATATTTGAAGCTCGAAAGAGAGCCCCACTACTAAATTCAGATCACTGTATCATAAGAATATTGCCCAAAGTATATGGAAAGCAGCACAAAAGGGTCTTCTCATACCTTGGAAAGAAAACACAACACAGATGTTATTCCCATGACAACATACTGAACCTAAGGTCCATGTTAAAAGACACAAACTGGGATCTATTTACTGAACAAGCTCTTGATAACACAATTGCCAACATAACACATTATCTTAATTTCTGTCTTGATGTTTGTTGTCCAAAAGAGACAATCTTCTTAAAATTCGATCGCTTCTCCTCTACTCAACTCAAAAAGCTCCGCCGTGAAAAAGAAAGGTTGTTCAAAATGAAAAACAAATCTGGTGTTAAGAGAATGAACACTTTGATTAAGCTTGAATTACAAAGATTGAATGCTCTCTATAACCAGAAGTTTCTTTCATGTAAATCCCCATCAAATATGTGGAAGTTATTAAAGGAAATCACAGGTGGTAAGCAAATGTTGAATGATATTTCTGTAGATGTTAATACGCTTAATGAATCCTTCATATGTATCCCAGCAAATGTTATGATTCCTAACTCAAATAGTGTAAACAATGACTGCTTCTCATGCTTAAACACGAATGATGTCCTCAAGTGTCTTCAATCTCTCAAGCCTACTCAGTCCCTCGGTCCTGATGGTGTTCCTGCTGTTATCCTTAAGAGTGTGCCGACATCTTGTGTTCCCCGCTAACTGACATTTTCAACGAATCGTTTTCCAAAAGTATTATACCTGAATCATGGAAAAACATCAAGATCGTTCCAGTGCCTAAATCTACAAGTGGACCTAATGTTAAGTTTAGACCCATTTCAATTACCTCACCCTTTTTGAAAGTTATGGAAAGACTTATTTTACTTAATCTTGATCCCTCTTTAAAACCTTTCAACGACCCCAACCAGTTTGCTTATAAACATAGTAGGAGTACGTTAGATGCCGCTGTCGTCCTCCACCATAGCATAGTCTCTAGTTTAGATAAAGGAGCTAAATACGTTCGCTGTGCCTTCCTTGATTACACATCTGCATTTGACTCTGTTCCCAGGTCTCTCTTGCTAAGTAAGCTTGCTGCAACACAGGCTGAAAGCTGGACAAATAAGTGGTTGCATTCCTATTTTTCTGAAAGGAAGCAGTACACCGTCTACAATGGAAAATCCTCCACTACCTCACTTACTTTAGCTGGTGTTCCTCAAGGTGCTGTTCTTTCTCCCTTTCTGTTCTCGTTTTTCTTACATGACTTGCCTCATTCTGATGTAGCCACTTTTGTTAAATATGCCGATGACCTCTCGGTTTCTATGCCTGTCAACTCTCAGTCAGATTGTTCCAAATTAAATAGCTTTCTGTCGGAAATTAGTCAGTGGTCCTCTTCAAACGGACTTAAGCTTAATCCGTCTAAATGTCAGGTAGTCAATTTCACTTTCAGACGTAAATGTGACCTACAGCAACTAGTTAGCTCACATGGCCCCACTCTCATTGACGGCACAGAGGTTGAAAATACATCTTATGTCAAGTACCTTGGGCTGAGTTTTTCCACCGATCTTTCCTGGTCTTCCCACATCTTGCTAGTTACTAGAAAGATGTTTCGCTTAACGTTCTACATTAGGAAATTTAGGCAGTCTGGCATAAACCAGTCTTTACTTTCTCAGTTTGTAAATTCTTGTATTCTACCCATCCTCCTTTACTGCTCCCCATTAGTCTTTCCTGGACTACTTAAGAAAGACTTTGCTTCGCTGAGAAGGGCACTAAAAGCTGTTAGTAGGGCAAGTGGGATATCGTTAAACCAACTGGTGAACACTATTGTAGATAGACATATTATATCATGTAAGAAACTAGCGAATACAATATTGTCGGACCCCAAGCATCCTCTCTATACGCATCTATCTCCTTGCATTTCATCTGGTAGAACTAGAAGCAGCTATAGGAGGCTATATGCTAGGACTACCAAATACAAAAAGTCCACAATACCATATCTGGCACAGCTGTTATGTGATGAGAAATCCGTTAGGTATGACACGATAAACTTACTGCGGCACTCTAACAAATAGTCCCATTAGTTTTTGTTTTCCTTTCCTCGTTACTACTACACTGTTGTTCTCATCTACAACCACACATCAACTTTATATTTCAAATCCTGTGGTGCATTGTTTGAAATGAAATACTCTACGCTGTTTTTTTCTTAATTTCTAATATTTATTTATTTTATTTATTTATAACTTATTTATTTTATTTTTATTTATTTATCTTTGATTTTTAAAAATCTTATATAATTTATGAGGTAATTAGATGCAATATACTGTAATGCACGCTGAAAATTCCATACCTGTACCACAAATACTGTTTGGAATAAAGCTATTATTATTATTATTAATAATCTTTCATTTCTTGAACAGTCTGAAGTCAATATAATTCTATTTGGATCCCTTTGGTTTTGTTTTGGAATTGGTTAATTGCACTTCTGTTTGGATTATTTTGGATTTGGTCAGCTGCAATTTAAACTGTTCACTTTATCATGGATTTCGTCTAGTTTCCT